TGCAGGCTGCGCCCACTGCAGCCCGCGCCCACTGCAGCCCGCGCCCACTGCAGGCCGCGTCCACTGCAGGCCGCGTCCACTGCAGGCTGCGCCCACTGCAGCCTGCATCCACGCCTGGTGAGGGCCTCCAGGACACCCCCTCGCAGAGCTCACCCACACCTGTGAGCCCTCGTTGTGAGGCCCTGCCGTTCTATCTGTCACACTAATGCAGCTTGTGTTCTATTGTGTTATATTACTTGTTACAAGTCTGTGGACTAAACTGTCTCAGCCACTGAGTTCAGTGCAGCCCCTTCGGCCGAGCTGCTCTGGGGCGGGGCTCCCACACTTTCTGTGAAAGGCCAGAGCGCGGCTGCACCAGGCTTGTGGGCTACCCCGTCTGTCGTCTGTCGCGGCTACTCAGTCCTGCCATCGGAGCGCCCCCCTATTCCCCCCATGAGGCCAGCGGGGTGCCGTCTGCCACCCTCTGCTCCGGAAGCATGCAAACATCCACAGTTCCAGAGCCCCCCACTCCAGCACCCGGACACCCTGGTCCCTGCAGAAAGGCCACAGGCTCCCCGAGGCGCCCGGTGTGCCCACGCAGACCCCCAGAGAGCCTCGCCCTGTGAGCGGCGGAGAGAAGCTGCGTGTCCCACCGCTCGGTCAGTAACAGCAGTCAGTGTGTCCTCTCGCCAGCCCTCCTCCAAGGCGCCTGTGCTCAGCACACACACACCACCGCGCCAGGGGACTCGGACCCGCTGAAGAGGAACCAGGGAAGGTTTCTGTTGTCAAATATTAGCCTTTTGAGATCAAGGGTTGCTCCAAAAGGTAAGCTTATGAGGTCGCTGGCTGATCTTCTTAGTAACGCATTTACCAGCCAGACAACCGTGCTCAGCATTTCTGCCGGTTCCAATAAGCCTATCAGCTATCGCTGCTCACAGCTCAGTCCACCTCATTTAAAAACGGCCTTTTTTCTGCACATGCACATCCTGAGATGTGGGTCTTTCATCAAAAGGAAAAGCAGTTTCCCATCTAAAAAGTAATCCTAGCTTCCTTCACGGAAGTTTAAAGTGAACCCTTCGTTCCAGAAAGCAGGACTGCCGGTGGTCAGGCTGCGGGCAACCCCCAGGGAAAAGGGCAGAAGCCTGAGACCACTGCTTCCAACGAGAAGACAAACCTATGACCAGGCCACAGGCTCCGTCCCGTCCTCGTCTCCAAATATTCTAGGAACGCCATGCAAACAGCCGATGCCACGACTCAGTGAGTCTAACGTGCTTTAAACATGTACAATAAGCTCCGTTACTCTAAGATAATCTCCTTTAAAAAAATCATGTCAGCCTACCGGCTGAGCAACACTAGACACAAAACCAAAGGTCACCTTCCCAAATGTGACTGCACTGTTCTATTCTGAAGGCACGTCACCGAATTAGGAAATATTCTATGGTCAAACCACAATTCCCAGCCAGTTTCCAAGTTCGTACTCAGTTAGAAAGAGTCGAATCAGCTTACAGTGAAAGGAGAACAAGAAACCGAGTGTTTTCAGCATCAGCCATTTGGTTAGTCGGTAGAATAGATCTGTAAGAGTTAGATACAAACGTTCACTTCAGAGAATCGACAAGTTTTTCTGCATAAGTGATTGTGGTGAGCGGTTAGTAGACGTGGAGTCAGTGAAGAGCTGGTTAGGAAGACACCCCCGTGGGGCAGGGCCGGCTACCTTTCCAGGGCGTGCAGGACGGACGACTGTGGAGGGCAAGAGCTAGAGAGCAGGCCCTCGGCTGCCACGGCTACGTGAGGGGGCGTCCTTTTGCAATCTACCAGGCTACTGGAGGCCGGGCGCACATGAAGAGAAAAAAGGTCACAGGTCAATTAAGTGGAACCAACTTTCCTACCCGTCCCAGGACCACCGTCCGGGGTGACACTGTAAGGGAAGATCCTCCCAGGCCCCTGACCGCAGCCGAGCAGCTCTGTTGACATCGCCATCAGCATGAACTCTCTTAACCGCAAAAACAGGAAGCTGCCCGAGGCCCAGCTCCCTTTCTGTCTCATCCACGTGCCCATGAGGGGCTGCCCTCCGTGGCCCAGAGCGCAGGGCTTCCTCCCAGCTCTGGGCGCGTGGTCTGACTGTGTGTGCTGCCAGCTGTCCCCTTAAGGAACACACACGATGCCATGAATGGAAGTGTGCCCGCTCATCCTAGCTGGTCACTGCATCGGACAGTGGTCGGGTCCTCATAAGCTGACACGGTCGTCACCCCGGACTCGCAGAGGAAAACGGGAAAGAGAAAACCTCTTCGGGGTTGTGTCTGAAACACCTAAATTCTTAGCATTAATAAAGAGTGAACACGTTTTCCACCCACTGGTGTCCAAACACCCCCATATTTTCCTCCTCAGTCCCGTGTTCCCCTCCGGGGGGCTTATCTCCAGGGACCCCAGGAGAGAATGTCCAAGGTTCCGGGACGGGACCTGCCTCACTGTCCGACAGGAGAGCCACTGGCTGCCGGTGACGGCTGGGCACGGGAAAGGTGACCAGTCCAAACGGCCAAGTGCTGTCCATGTGAGAGACACACCGACTTCAAAGACCTACCATACACATGGACTGTGAAATATCTCAGGAACACTGGTTTTAAATGTATTTTATTGATTTCAGAGAGGAAGGGAGAGGGAGAGGGAGCAAGAGAGAGAAACATCAATGATGAGAGCTGCCTCCTACACGCCCCACACTGGGGATTGAGCCCACAACCCGGGTGTGTGCCCTGACCGGGAATCGAACTGTGGCCTCCTGGTTCACAGGTCGATGATCAACCACTGAGCCATGTCGGCTGGCCCACTAATGTTTTTAAAAACTGACTACCTGAATGATATTTTGGATACATGGGATCAGATGAAATACATGATCCAAGTTCATTTCCTCAGTGTCTTTACTTTTCCAGGACGGCTGCAAGAGCATTTTAATTTACGTCTGTAGCTAGCACGATGTTGCTATTGGGCGGAACAGACAGACAGACCTAGTGAGGGGACTGCCCAGGCCCCCAGTCCCACCCTGGCTGCCGGCTGACTGACATTCATCGTCCCAGTCCTGGCTGGACATCAGGATGCGGCCTGTTTTCCCTGACCTGTCATGCACGCATCACACGGGTGAAAGTGAAACCAGGTCTGGTGAGCAGGAAACAGGCTTAGGCAGGAAGCTCTGCCGCTCCGGGGGCCCCACAACCGCTGTCAACCAGAGGTAAGTCTCACATGAAGCGTGAGCATCGCCCGGCCCGGGGGGCGGGATGGGTGGGCGTCACCCTGTGAACCTAAAAGGTAGTCAGTTCGATTCAGGTCAGGGGGTGCAGGAGGCAGCTGATCGATGTCTCGCTCTCACATCGATGTTTCCCTCCCTCACTCCCTCTCCCTTTCTCTCTAAAAAAAGGGAAGAATAAGAATAACTCAGTTGTCCTGCACTATCACTGAGATGGCCGTTTCTCCGCCTCTTTCTCACTATCACCACCCCGGAGCATCTGGCTGTTTTCCCCTAACAGTGCTCCCGGGGCCGTGAGACTTTAATGCCGGGGTCCTGGGTAGCTATGTGTGTGCCGTGGCCCCTGCTGCAGCTGCATGAGCCACTCCCGTTCTCTGAAAACTGCCCACACCAGAAGTCTAGCTGACGTGAGGGCTCGTTTCCAGGAAATAAACACCCTTGAACTCAGCAGAGTGACTGAGCTCGGGGAGAAGGGAGAAGCGATCATCCGAGCGGCCTCAGTGGCCCCTGAAGCAGCCTCACTGCTTGAATCTTACTTTGGAGACAAGGATCAAGGAAGGCTGTCGCCTGTGTCCTCCCGTGACCACTGGCGCTGTGACCCTTAACCAGTGCTTCCCCTTTCCATGCCACCCAGGGAGCTAAGCGCTGTATTTGCATCTCAGCTCTGAGACAGGGCCTGCGCATGTTGCTAATCCCCCTCTGTACCTCCTACTCTACCTGCATCTTCTTCTGTCCTAACGAATTTCACTTTTGTTTATGTTTCTATTCTATGGAACATGCCTCCTAGCTGACTTCAGATCCCCTGGACCAGGACAGGTGAGCGCACGCGCACACACACCCACACGCACACCCACACATGCACACGCACACCCACACGTGCACATGCACACGCACACGGCAGCTTACCTGGCGTTGGGTGACCACTCTCTGTCGGAACTAGGGTACGATGATGACTGAGAATAAGGCATGACGGGGGGCACGTTTTCCTTGGCAACATCTTCTTGGAATGGAGGTATGTCGTTAGAAAGAGTTCTGGTTAAAAAAAAGAGAGAGATTCCAGTCAAATGTTAAAAGCGACAGAATCACAACAAAGGCAAGTGTCCGTTTTGAAATGCATCCACAGGGAGGGGCGGGGGGCGGGGGGGACCAACATTTACCTGTTGCTGTCCATCGCGTCCCGCTCCTCGTCGGAGCTCATCTCTATGGGGAACATGTCTTCGTCTTCCGACGTGTTGGAGTTGTCGTCCCTCTTCAGGCTGTCCAGCTGAGACTTCCTCCTCCTCTTCCGTCTCTTCTTCACCAGGGAGCCGCTGGAGGGGGTCTCGCCGGGAGGCAGGCCTGGGGCCGCCGCGCCGGGGTCCAGGCTCCGCGCCCGGTCCACCGGGTTCCTCTTCAGCTGACACTCCATGCGCGAGGCTCCGTCCGACAGGATGGGGGAGGTGGCCAGGTGCATGGGGATCACTTCCTGAGGACGGAAAGTCTTGTTTACAACAAGGCTCGTGCCCTCGGGCCTCAGGAGCAGGATCGAGCCAGAGGGGCGCCGTGTAACAACGTCCCCGTGACCTGGCGGTGTGGCTGCCCGGTGTCACGGGTGGTCACGAAGTCAGCCTGGAATTCATTAAGTGCCGTCTTGTACTAAATCCCGCCTCTTTGTCATTAAAACGTGAGGTCATGCTCAGTGACTTCGGGCGCCAGGGTTCAACTCTGTGGAACTCTCCAGAGCACAGAGGGAAAATGGGCTTTGAGTCACCACATCGCCCTGGGAACTAGACTCAATTCTGCATTTCAGTGTGGGTCAGGGTGTGTGTGTGTGTGTGTGTGTGTGTGTGTGTCTAAGAGTGTGTGTATAAGAGAGCCTGTGTGTGTATGTGTGTAAGAGAGCCTGCGTGTGTATGTGTAAGAGAGCATGCGTGTGTAGGAGTGTGTGTGTAAGAGACCCTGTGTGTGTATGTGTGTGTAAAAGAGCGCGTGTGTAAGAGAGCGTGTGTAAGAGTGTGTGGGTAGGAGAGGCTGTGTGTGTGGGGGGGGGGGGGGGGGGGGGGTGTGGTTTTCAATATGCACTGAATTAAGTTATCAATGATAATTTTTAGGGAACCGCTGGCCAGTGCCCCCTGCCGCGCCCCTGGTGCCCGCCTACGCCAGAGTGCCTCCAGCAGGGGGGTGTCAGGGAGGTAGATACTGGCCCTTCTCTTCACACCAAAAGGAAGACACACACAGCCTGTCGACCTAACAGCTGGCTGGCCATGGTTCTCAGTGTTGGACACGTGCGTGGAGAGTCGCAGCCCTAGGCTGGAAGGGATGGGTGGGCCTTTCACCCAGCGGCTCCCGGGACCGAACGAAGAAGCAGAGAAAGCACTGACCCCAGGCCCAGAGCAGAAAAGGAGGTTCCCTGACTGAAAAGGGGAGGGGTGCAGCTGTGTGCGGAGGGGAGGCGGCTCTACAGCGATCTGGTGAGGAAGGACACAGCTCCCAGTTTGTAGCCGCCTCTCAGGACAGAAAGGAGCATCGCCTGGGACAGAACACACTCTGGCCTCCGGGCCCCGTCCCACCCACCGGCACCCTGGGCGGCCAGCCAACAAGGCCCTCTGTGGTCTGCAGCCAGTCAGACCCAGAATGAGCTACCACTTCCCACCCACTGGATGGCTGCGGTCACACAGGCAGATCACACGCACAGGTGAAATGCGGACACGTGGGGACGCTCACGTGCTGCTGAGGGGATGTAAGTGGTGCAGCAGCCTGGGACAGCAGTCTGGCAGGTCCGCAAATGTTAACCAGTTACCGTGGGGCCCAGCAATTCCGCTCCCAGGTGTGCACCCACGAGAAATGAAAACCTATGTCCATGTGAAAACTTGTACACGAATGTACAGCAGCCAAAGGGGGAAAACAGCCCAAGTGTCCATCAACGTTGACATGAAAGGATAAACAAAAGGTGGCCATTCGCCGCACAAGGGAATGAAGTACCGACACATGCTAGGGCGCGGATGACCGGAACACATCATGGTAAGTGAAAGACGACAGGCGTGAAGGAGCACGTACTATAGGGTCCCATTCACATGAAAGCTCAGAGGAGGGGAATCGATGGAGACTGGAAATAGATGGGTGGCTGCGTAAGGCTCGAGGGTGGGGAGGGGTGGTGGATGGGGAGGTGACAATGAAAGGGTACAGAGCTTCTTTGGAGGTGATGACCGTGATCTAGAACTGACTATGGCAATAGTTGCACACTCTGTGAAAACACTAAAAAACACTGAACTGAGCACTTGAAATGGCTAAACTGTATGGTACGAGAATTATCTCAACAACGCTGTTAGACATTTTAAAATAATAAAAATAGCCCTAGCCGGTTCAGCTCAGTGGATAGAGTGTCAGCCTTCAGACCGAAGTGTCTGGGGTTCAATTCCGGTCAAGGGCACGTACCTTAGTTGCAGGCTCTTTGGCGGACTGGGCCCTGGTCAGGGCGCGGGCAGGAGGCAACCAATCGATGTGTTTCTCTCACATCAATAGTTCTGTCTCTTTCACTCTCTCTAAAAATCAATGGAAAAATATCCTCAGATGAGAATTTTAAAAATAATAATAAAATAAAATAATAAAAATACAAGCAACCTGGTCATTCACTAGACAAAAATCGACCACTCGGCCATCTGCGTTTGACAGCAGTACAATCTGTATGTTATGGACCAGGGTTCAGGCCAGGCGACTGGGTTCCTCTGTCCCCCTGGAAACGGTGAGCCCGCGGAAGCAGCCGGGCTGCTGAGGCTTGTGGACTCAGCCACACCAGCCCGTCTGGCTCAAATGCCAGGACAGACAGCGCCTGCTTCCTCTGCTGCCACCGTCTGCACCGTCGGGAGCCGGCAGCGTGCTCCACCCACACTCCGCTGTCTCCTGCGCAGAGCTAGGAAGTGGCCCTGAACCCCAGCCTTCCTTACCTGATCGTTATCGGTCTCTTGAACAAAAAAGGCTTCTCCGTTATCTCCCAGCTTCATGTGTAAATCCACAGATTCCCCGTTGATTTCTATGTCAACCTGGAAGAAAAACGCACGTCTCCACATCAGGACACAAACCTCCCTGGCCACGCCTCCACACGCGTGCACTTGAATCGCACACACGCCACGGAGAGCTCACAGTTCCAGCTCGCGGTCGGTCAGCCTGGTCCTGCCTGCTCTTCTCCACCGGGAAATGCAGTCTGCACCCACCCCACATCACCACCACCGGAGCCCAGGCGGGCTTGCATATGTGACTTCAGAGGCTGGGCCAGCGGAAAAGGCAGCGTCCACTAGGCGCTCTCTCTCTCTCTCTCTTTCTCCCGCCCCCCGCCCCCCATGCTCGCCAGCCATCATGTGGTGAGGACGCCCAGACCACATGGAGGGGCCAACAACCCGAGAGGCCAGCCAAGAGCCACCGTCATGGGAGTGACGCGTCTCCAGAGGGTTCCAGCCCCCGCCTGGAGCCTTACAGCTGAGCCCTGGATGGCGGCGGCAGACACAGTCAGCCCCACTGTCCGAATCCCTGACCACAGAACCCAGGAGCTGAGTAAACAGTTGGTTTCTGCCACTGAGTTCTGGAGTCGTCCACGCAGCCATCGTAACCAGAACCACCTGAGTTCACCGTCTACTCGGTGAACAGCCCTACCCAACGGAGAGCTACAGGTCTGGGCCTACGACAAGCTCCGGAGATGGGAAGCCACAGAACGGGGTCCCGGGGCCCCGCTCTCACCACTTTCTCTCGGGAGCGCAGCACCCCCATCTTGCCGAAGCGGACGTGGAACGGGGAGCACTGCAGGCTCCCGTTGGGCTGGCGGACGACGATGATGTCGATGCATCCGGACAGGGTGGCGGGGTTCAGGCCCTTGTACAGCTCCTTCACGGTGACAAACACCTGGCCCGCCAGCTGCCCCACGTAATTCATGGTCTGAGCCTGGAAAACAGAGACACACACCACACACACACACACAGTGAATTCAGAGGAGGCCAGTACCTACTGCCCATTAAACCATGGACTTCGCGTCCGATCTGGCGCCCTGCCAGCATCGTTGTGTTTTCTATTCCCTGGAATGGGCTCCACGCCTACCCTGTCGCCCGCCAGCCTCTACCCCGGAGACCCCAGGAGGCCTCTGGAAATACCCCCGATGGAGAAGCAGAGAACCTGTCCCATAATTCTTAACAAACAGCAGGGTCATGGCCCCACCCGGCAATACCCGCCGCCCCCATTCTCAGCCTGGGCACTGAGAATTTTTTAAAGGGAGATACTACTATCCCCCACCTACTGGGATGGCCGCTATCTAAAAAGCAGGGGAAAGCAAGCATTGGTGAGGATGTGGAGAAACTGGAGTCCACACACTGTCGATGGGAATGCGAAACGGTGCAGCCACAATACAGCACAGGGTGCTGATCCTCCAGAAATTAAAACAAGAGCTGCCATACCGTCAGCCATTCCACCTCTGGGTGTACATGGCTGCACCCCTGACAGCGAGGTCTCAGAGAGAGATCTGCACCCCATGCTCACAGCTACAGGACTCCCAACAGCCAAACGGCGGGAAGCACCACGGGTCCAATGATGAGAGAATGGACAAATGCGGTCTATACACACAACGGATTCTCACTCCGCCCTCAAAAGATGGGGGATCCTGGCACATGCTAACCACGGGTGGCCCTTGAGGACATGACGCTGAGGACGAAAGGGAGACACTGCATGAGCTCGCGTGGGAGGCAGCGGGAGCAGACAGGCTCAGAGGAACAGGAAGTGCAGTGGTTACCGGGCCGAGGGGACGGGGGAGGAGAGTCGGAGTTTCATGGGGACAGAGCTTCTTCCCACAAGATGAGAAATGGCTGGGCCTGGATGGAGTGAGGGCTGCCGTGGCATGAATGTACTGGTATTAAGTGAACTGAACTGGGCAGGTGTAAATGGTTAAGATAATAAATTTAATGTTATGTATATGTCACCACCATTTAAACAAAATGTAAGGGGATGAGTAAGAAAACTGTATTCACCAAGAACTCATTCTGGGAAGGTGACTATGATTTGGTTAAAAAATGTATCTGGAAGATCATGTGGGCCCAGGAGGCCCGGGGGAGGGTGGGCCCAGGTTCCCTGGAGCTGGGGCTTGGTGGAGGGGTGCAGGCCAGCTGGGGGGCGACCAGCTCTCCTTCATCCACCCTTCCAGGATGTCCTCTAAACAAAGGAGACACTAAAGAGCCAGGAACAAACCCAAACCGGCAGGATGCCAGTTCCCAAGTTCCGCCGCCTCAGTTCCCTTTGAAGGAACAGGCTCAGAAAGTCGCTAACTTGATTTACCTGGAGATACGGAGCCAGACAGAGCCCAGAGGGACTCGGCTCCCTGCGCTCACCGCATCACTGCCAGGTTCACAGGACGCGTGACCAGGCCTGAGGGCAATATTTGTGTTGAAGAAGAAAGTACCTTAAAAGCTTCAAGAGCAACATACTGTGCCCGGCCTGTGTGACCTAGTGGTTGAGCCTGGACCTGCACATCAGGAGGTCTCGGGTTCGATTCCCCATCAGGGGTTGTGGGCTTGACCCCCAGGAGGGGGCGTGCAGGGGCAGCTGATAGATCTGCATGTTCTCTCTCATCAATGTTTCTCCCTCTCTCTCTCTCTCTCTCTCTCTCTCTCTCTCTTTCTCTCTCTCTCTCTCCCCGCCCCTCCTCTCTCTCTAAAAATAAATAAAAATATACTTTTAAAGAAAAAAGTGTATCAGAATGGAAAACCTGTAGCAAACAAAACGAAACGCTTAAGTTTCCCGGTGAACAGCTCCAAGGTGTGCCCCTCCCCTCCCCCACTCCAAACCACTTCCCATCGGTGGATTTTCATCTCAAATTCTGGCAGAAAGAGCTGCTGCGCCAGACAGGGCGGTTACCCCTGAACCGGGGCTCCGCAGCCTGGTTCACAGGGTGTCTCGGGAGCGCTGAGCCGAACCGCGCAAACCCTCCAACAAGCGGGTCCCCGAGGCGCGGTGTGGGTGTCAGAGTGACTCTCAGACGCAGGAGCACGGACACATGAGACTTTTTCTTACATGGCATTTCCGAGCTTGACCTGGAAAATACTACATGTCTGGGGCTACTGCCTCCCGCCGGAACCCCACTTTTCCAGATAGTCTTCCGTCAGTTAAAAACGACGACAGCACTCACATCAGACCCAAATCGATGGCACGGCAGGAATAAAAACCCAAAGCGTTTCCACATGTGGGGGTCACCTA